GCAAAGTTACACATAAACCGCTGATAGAGGTGACCTACAAACAGGCTTCCTGCGGTAAAGGGTTGGATGAACTGTTGAACATAATATCCGGGTTAGAATTTCTTTGGTAAATGGGTATTTGGGTTTTGTCTATTGATTAACTTATGCCCTTCCGAGCAGCGGCAGCAGAATATTGGACTGTTCCAGGTGCAAGCTCGAGGGGGGGGTGGATGCTTCACCTTCTTGGTGAAGCTCTGTGTCAATCCTTTTTCTGCCCCATGGCAATATGCCAGCCACTGGCACTACGATGCTTGCGCTGGGGAAAGCACCTTGGGAGCATGCAAAGGGTGTGGAGGAAAACAAACGCAGGACCCATGGACAAAACCTAGCCTCTAGTTCCAAGGGCAGGGGCAGCAGCTATGTTTTCCTCCTGAGATGCACAAACTTGACTATAGCCAAAGCTCCCCCCACCCCCAGACTCTGGGATCTTGTATTAAGGGCACAGTTGATTGGTGGAGCATGTGTTCTGCATGCATAATATTCCAGGTTCAATCTCTTGCATCTCCAACTAAAGATTCTAGGTTATGGTCTGAAGGCACATGAGACCACCACTTTGCCAAAGCTAAGCAGGACCATGACTGGTCAGTCCCTGGATGGGAGACCACTTGGAAGCTACAGGTGTGTGTGATGGAAGAAAGGTGCGGTATGAATGTAAGAAAAGCAAATAAATACATAAAAATAAATATCAGGAAGCAGAGTTCAGAAACATGTATTTTTGATATCTTGGGAAGCTCTTACCAGTTGAATTAGAAAATGCTCTGCCTGGAATATTGACCTATGGTCTGGCTTGGCATAAGGTGCTGCTTTATCCTGAGCTGTCTCTCCCATTTCTCTCATGTTACCAGAGACAGGGAGGGCATCATGCCTGAGTCCAGAATCAGGCAGAGGGAGGCAATTGCAGCACCAACCTCCCACCAGCCATTGCCCCTGAAGCCGTGGGCATTCTCCTCTGTTAGAGATCAGTCAGGAACCCCTAAACCAGCATGATGCCCTCAGCTAAAGTTGAAGTTGCTGTTCCTTTGTCAGTGTGGAATCAAGAGGCAGGTGGAAGGATCCTGGTCGTGGGTGATTTGACCATTAGGAATTGAGGCAGCTGAATGTGTGATGGGCAGGCAAGGAATAGGGTGAATTGCCTGCCCCATGCAAGGTTGAGGATCTACCTAAATAGCCTAGCATATAGTGCTAAAGAGGATTCAGGGCCACTGGCATCAATGACATGGGGAGAATGTAGCTGTGAAGTCGTGGAAATGAAACTTGGGTTGCTAGGTAGAATATGTTTTAGAGGAGAGTTCAAACTTTTGAAGGGATATTTTAGGAACATAGGGAGCTACCTTAAATGCAGTCAGACTATCCATCTTCTTCTTCTTTGGAAATCACTAGTAGCTGAGTAAGATTGTCTTCCATAAACACGGTTTTATCAATGAGTCCGTAAGTGACTGTGGAGGCCAATTCTGGATCCACACATCCTTCCACAGTGGGGACATAGGTTTCCGGGTGGGAGTTGATCATGGTTTGCCAAGTGTGCCTTCCTCTTAGCGCATTTCTCCCTTTCGCCCTGAGTTCAAGTGTCTTCAAAACTCATGACACCTTTGGTAAAAGCTGTTCTCCAATTGGAACACTCACAGGCCAGTGTTTCCCAGTTGTCAGTGTTTATACTACATTTCTTTAGATTTGTCTTGAGAGAGTCTTTGAACCTCTTTTGTTGACCACCAGCATTACGCTTTCCATTTTTAAGTTCGGAATAGAGTAGTAGCTTTGGAAGATGATAATCAGGCATCCGCACAACATGACCAGTCCAACGAAGTTGATGTTGAAGAATCATTGCTTTGACACTGGTGATATTTGCTTCTTCCAGTACACTGGCATTGGTTCTCCTGTCTTCCCCAGTGATGTGTAAAAAATTTTGGAGACACCATTGATGGAATCTTTCGAGGAGTTGGAGATGGCGTTCATAAGTGGTCCACCTTTCCCAAGCATACAGTAAGTTTGGTAGTACAATAGTTTTGTAAACAAGCATTTTGGTTTCCCTGCAAACGTCCCGGTCCTCAAACACTCTGCACTTCAATCGAGAGAAAGCTGCACTTGCAGAGCTCAGGCGATGCTGGATTTCGGCATTAATGTCTACCCTTGTGGAAAGATAACTGCCCAGGTAGGACTATCCAACTAGCTCTGTATTGCCCACACTGTGTGACAGTGTCTGCCTAAGATTTCAGATGAGACTCTCCCCATCTTACTTGTAGGTGCTGGGGACTGAGTCTGGGACCTCGTATTTGCAAGACAGATGCTCTACCACTGAACAGAGGTCCTTCCTCTTGAAAAACGGGTCTCAAAGGAGCTATCCAAACTGATAACTCCAAAATGCAATTAGAGTGCCAAAATAGTTGCAGCTTTCAGCAACCTCCTGGTATCAGCAAGTCTCACAAAGTGGGTTCCTGCAACTCCCAGGCAGCACTGCTTCCCCTCTCACTGAACAGGGAGAAAACTGTCAACATGAAGGGAGATGAGACGATTCCTTTTAAGAGTGTAACAAGCAAGAGAATCCCTCACTGCAGGGACGTTGGGCAAAGGGCAGAAGGCAGCGTTTCCATCCCATTCTTCATAATCAACTTGAAAAAAGAGATCAAAGCGCTGAAAGATGAGAGAGAAGAGGATAATTATCAGCCGAGTCTCCCTTTCTGCCTTTGCTTATGTGTTTGTGAGGGGGGGAATGAGAAAAACAAAATAACCTGATCTCACCTTTCAATCTCACAGTGTCCTCAACACATCATAGAACATCTTTCCAGACACTGATGAAATAAACCCTACATCATGCCTGGAAGACAGGGGAGCTGTATTAGACAGAAAACAAGCTACCTCCTTAATAGATAATTGCCAATAAAGAGAATTGGAGATACTGGACAGGCAGAATAGCTAATAGATTCAAGTATTAAGCAACCAGAAGTAAAAGCAATTCTGGGTGGGGAGAGGACCCAAAATTGGAGAGCATCCTCCTAAACATAATTGCTTATTATACTGGATGTGCACAGGGTGAGGCTGTGGTCTAGCAGGTGTGCCCAGTGAATTACTGAGATTTTGACGGAACCTGGGAGACAAGGGGCTAATTTGGTCAGCCCAGGTGCAAGACCATATCCTGTGAAGTGTATTCACCAGACTCTAAGAAGGATGTTGGCAAATCAGAAATGACTCAAAGGGTGGCTACAAGAGTGGACAGAAATCAGGAATGTTGTATGTTTGGCTCTTATTCAGCCCATAACAGGGGGGAAATCAACATATGCAGCTTTCTCTGCACAGAACAACTGAACCTATTAGAAATCTGCCTGTCATGCAGCTCTTAAATGTGCTCTTATTGTTCATCCAAAAAGAAAAGCTTTATGAATCAGAAATACTTTTATAAATAAGAGTCTTCAGCTGTGCTCAGGTAGCATTTTGCTATCCAGGCCAGTCTTGGCCATTCTTTCGAAATGGTTCAGATCTTCAGAAGTGGGTTGGTCATTCTCATCTCCTGGCCATGAAAGGCTTTGCCTGCTCATTTTTTACAGATAAAGCTGCTGTTAAAGGCACAGAAGGAGGCTCAGACATTTGGTGGAGAGGAGATGCAAAGCAACCCAAACCCCAGTCCTTGTTTTCTCTTCCAGCTGGTTGGCATCCCTCTGTCTTGGGAGACAATGGAGCAGTACACCTTTGAGGGTGAAGTCAAACTGTTGGAAGATCACAGCACCTGCTGTGGCTGAAAAGACTGATAAGGGAGAGACATGTTTTGTCGCAGCTGGGGCAGATGAAGGCTAGCTGACTAAAACAACCACTTGTATTAACATAAAAGAAGTCAATTCAATAAAAAAAATGGAAATGTGAATTATTTTTCCTTGCTGGGGGGTGGTGGGTGGAGGCACATCAGAGGTATTTAAATTATGATACTAATATTGATAGGGATTTTCACATCATAAAACTAGTATCTAACTCTTTCTCTTCCTCTTTTAGGGCATGTAAATAATCCCTTTCACAACAAACATATTTCTGCATGGAAATTTCCATTTGGAATGCCAGTTTTAAAAACAAAAGAAAAAGCCTTCGCCACTATGTTTTTATTAATATTATTATGACAAGATCAGCTCAGTTGAAACAGCAGTTCCTGCTTCCAAAATACACACACTTCAAACCAGCAACCTCAACACGCATGCCTCACTCCCTACTGCTTTCGCCATTCCGATCTTGCTCATAAATATATTCCTTCCTGCAACAGCTTTATTGTCATTCCTCACAAGGCTGATTTGTAATCAGCTGATTGACAGCTAAAGTCACTGGAATCTTTAGTTGGCCCATTATAAAAGCAGACCTATCTCTCAGCACGGCTGGGACCTTCAATGCAGAATGGACAAATATCCTTTTAGACGTAGGGCTCTATATCCGCAATAACTGCATCAAGGCGAGAATTTTAGCATTTGCACCTTGACATATTAGTTATGGCTGCAAGTGTTTGAGAAATGTCAGCTGCTAAAACCCCATTCTTTATGGAACCACAAATGGAAGAGGAAAGTAACAGCACTGAAGGAATTGTTAAAGTTAGAGGAGTTGTCTTATCTCAGTCAGGAGATCTTTGCCATGACTTACTACTGAACAACACGTTCCTAACCATGTCTAAAGGTAAAGGTAAAGGGACCCCTGACCATTAGATCCAGTCGTGGCCGACTCTGGGGTTGCGGCGCTCATCTCGCTTTATTGGCCGAGGGACCTGGCGTACAGCTTCCAGGTCATGTGGCGAGCATGACTAAGCCGCTTCTGGCGAACCAGAGCAGCGCACGGAAACACCATTTACCTTCCCGCTGGAGCAGTACCTATTTATCTACTTGCACTGGCATGCTTTCGAACTGCTAGGTTGGCAGGAGCAGGGGCCGAGCAACGGGAGCTCACCCCGTTGTGGGGATTCGAACCACCGACCTTCTGATTGGCAAGTCCTAGGCTCTGTGGTTTAACCCACAGCGCCACCCCCGTCCCTAACCATGTCTGCTTAGAAGTAAATCCTATTAATTCAAGGGGGCTTACTCCCAGGTCAATGGGATTAGGGTTGAAAGTCTTGGGTCCTTTTAAGAGAGGATAACTAGGCACTGAACTTGGGATCATCAGCAGGCAAAGATTAAGGACATAAGAAAAGCTCTGCTGGATCAGACCAATGTCCCATCTGGTCCAGCCTCCTGTTCTCACTGTGGACAACCCAATGTCTACAAGAAGCCCACAAGCAGAAGCTGCTTCCCAGCAGATGGCATTCAGAAGTATATTGCTTCCTGGGGCTGTGAGAATGTGCAGCAGGGCATGTCATTTTAGGGGCTGAAACTTAATTTTTGCAAATTTCTTAGTGAGGGATCTTTAAAAAAAAACATTTTGGGGCATGTGGAATTCAAATCTGCCATTGTTTTTCTGATTGGACAATATCTAGCTTCGTAAGTCTACGTTTGATGAAGAAGTACATAAGCTGCTTTCAGAAACCCAAAGAATTTTGATTTTGCCTTCTGAAAATGTCAGGTAATATACTAAATTGTCTCTCCCATATTGGTCTCTACAGCTATAATAGGCACTGTAACTCTTCAACTGACTCCCAATGGAAGACTCTTCCAGACAAATGCCAACAACGAAAATGTATAATATAACTGGAAGTACTTGGCAATCATTTTTAATAATTTCTATGCAATTTTACACAAAAAAATGACCTACATCCAAAACTAAATTATATTAATTTAACCAAAATATCTTTTTAATTCCCAAGCCATGTTACAACTTTTTAGCAACCCTCGTTTTTGGAAAAATTCAACACACCCTAATGGACAGGCACTACCACTGAGCTAACAGGACACTCTCCTATGTTCTCTGGGGAATATTTTTCTGATAATTTCTAAATGACTGTTTGCTAGTTATCTTGGTCATGAACTATCTTGTGGGATTGGTTTTTTTCCTCTTGCAAAGAGAAATGTGGCACATAATTTAAAAAATTAAAGGCAGTGGTGATCTAAACTAGAAAGTTTAGTCACTCCTGAATTCTTGGAGAAGGAGAGTCACCAGAGTGTGAGATTTCACATGCAATAAACCAAACCACAAATATCTGGAATTATCTGGCCAAACAGTTGATGGTGAAAAGCGACATCTAGTGGTTGCAGACGGCATATTATTTCCTTTTTCTGCTTTTATCCTTCTGTTCATGCCTCGAAATCCAGTCCACTCATAGTTTCTTTGCTAATCTCCCTTTGGTTTGCTTCAATGCAGTTTTCGCTTCTTTTTCATGAAAACGGTTCAACCTTCATCCAATAAAGAAAACAAATGGAATTACTATTCTAGCATACAATTAAGGCTGCCAGATTCTGAACCAACTAGTGTAGATTGTTTATCAGCAGATTGATTAGCCCACCCAATAGTAATGAATGATTCTCTCCATGCTTGAAAAACGTCACTTTCTGGCTTTGCTCTATTTTCCCCTTCATATCCTGCTTTCTGTTAATAGGACAAGAGCAAGCCACTTGGCAATTCTATATCCAATAAATTAGCATCAAGGGGTCTTGGGCCACCATCTCTTAAAACATTGCTTCCCTCCTAAACCTTGCATCTGTTGACCCAAATTATATTCAAAGGACATTGCCAATATTCACATCACAACATTGAACAAAATGTGGGAGATTTGCAGTCAAATCTAACAATGCTAGTTAGTATGTGAAAGGGTTAAGAAACAGAACCATGTAATAAAACTTTTACTGGATTTTCCAACTTTAGGCTACAAATAGAGCTGCCCTGACCAAAAAAACCAGCCCAAACCCTGCCCCTCCCTGCACACAGAAAACTAATATTTCAGGGAGCAGCTTCCACCTTAACCTTCTTCCCAACTTTGTTGTTTTTCTGCATGCAGAGTTACTTTGATGATGGTTACAACATGCTTGCAGCGTGGAAAATACTTAACATTTGGTTTTCCTGGTAATATAAATTGGCACTAAACCGACATTTCACTACTCACTGGCACTTAGTTTGCATTGTCAACCAAGATCTAAAATAAAACTGCATCATTTCCCTATTAGGACTGAACCTGTGAGTACGTATGGAAAACTAGCGGGCTTTTTCCTTCACCCATAAACTTTTAAAAGGGAAACATATGGGAGTCTTCTCCTCAAATGTTTCTTTGCCAAGGATGTAAAAATTATCGATTGCCTGCATGGGGCTGCTAGATACAGTGATACCTCGGGTTACATACGCTTCAGGTTACATACACTTCAGTTACAGACTCCACTAACCCAGAAATAGTGCTTCAGGTTAAGAACTTTGCTTCAGGATGATAACAGAAATCGTGCTCCGGCAAAGCGGCAGCAGCAGGAGGCCCCATTAGCTAAAGTGGTGCTTCAGGTTAAGAACAGTTTCAGGTTAAGAACGGACCTCCGGAACGAATTAAGTACGTAACCCAAGGTACCACTGTATTGAAGTGAAGCGTAAGAAAAATGCATGGAAAAAAACAGAGATTTCCTCAGCTGAAACTTCTGCAAGTTTGTCACCAAGCCCAAGTATCTATGAATGCTTCGCAGTGCAAGCCCACACATGCCTACTCAGAAGTAGGCCACAGTGAGGGCAATGGGACTTACTCGCAACCAAGTAAGTGCATCTAGAATGAAGTGGTTAGCATTAGCAATGCAGAAATAGAGGGTGGGTGAAAATAATTGCATAATACTTCTCCTGCTGGCAACTACAAGTCCACCACAGGAACAAATCTAGTAAGCATCTAAGTGGGGGTTTTGTGGTGGGGTCTCTGACTCATCCCTGAAAAACTGCACCTGGCTACTTGCAGGGAGCAGCCAAAGGCTACATTGTAAGAGCTTCACAATAATATTAATAATTAGAAGCGAACATCTTCAAAGCCCTCTGTAAGCAAAATTTAATCCCTCTGCCACCCTATGGGGTATTTTTACAGATGACGACCTCAGGCCAACAGCCAAAACATGCTGCCTTTCATCTTGCGGAGAAAAGATGTTGGAATGCAGGAAGGGTCTCATTTCTGCTCCTACCTCGCGACTTTCTATTCACATCACTGCCCCAAAGCTCTCTTCCAGACTCCCTCTGTGCATTATTCCGGCTTCCTTGATGTTTGTTCAAGGATCTTATCAACTCAGGACTCACCAGGCATCTGCAAAGTGTACACTCTTTCCACACATCCGCTCAGTGCGTCGTGTTCCACCTTGCACGTAAACACAGTATTCCCCGCCCCCTGTGCAGGTGTCACTCTCAGAAGGCTCCACATGGAGTGCAAGCCATTGGCGCCAACTACGGAGACCGAGTGGCAGATTCCCACATGCAGTGGCTTCCCATCTTGGAACCAATTCACCCTGATCACGCTAGGGGAGAAGTTATTGATTCGGCAGCTTAGCCTCAGCTCCTCTCCTGCAACAGGAACCGGAGGGTCTGGAGTGATCCAGAGGACTTCTGGGGGTGTTCCTGTAGGGACATGAAATAACAAAGTGAGTTGCTCCCCTTAAGATATAGTGGCAAGCGATGCACCCTGTTCTGCCAAGGCCATTTGGGAGAAAGAGATGTAATGCATCTCGGTTGAAATTGCTGTTTGGTTGGTTGGTTTTAATTAAATGTAACTTTCTAGTCCTCGTTGCTGTAGAAAGAAAAAGTTGAAAGCATGTGTCCCTAGAATATATGCACTCAGGCCAAAGGCAATAATAAATGAGAAATCAAATCTGCTCCAACCACAGAGGCATCGTACCTTGCAAATTTATTTCATAGGAGAGTTCTTCGACATTTCCAAAGCTGCTGTGCTTGATCCGACAGGTATAAATTGCTCCTTCGTCATCTCTGGTCAGGATAAACTCAGTCTGGCTCCATATACTGTAAAAATCACTTTCACAAGGGAAAGGCCCAAACTGTGTCACTTCTTCAACAGGCTGCCCATTTCGAAACCAGTCCAGAGTGATGTCCTTTGGGTAAAATTTCTCCACAACACAGATCAGAATAAGCTTATCCCCCTGTATGGGAACCTGGGGCGAGCTGAAGATGTAATGACTCGCTGGTCGAGCTGCCAAATAGAGATCAAAAGTCTGTGTGTGTTTGTGTGGAGGGGAAAGATATTCCATACACAGCTTTCAGACATTACACTAGCTCTACAGGAAAAGTGGCAGGCCAAAAGAACCTGTACTATAGGTATCTATTTGGCCACTGTGGGCTTCTCTTGTTTTTGTGGTGAATGATGTGCCTTGCCTCTATTACAGTGGTACCTTGGGTTATATATGCTTCAGGTTACACACGCTTCAGGTTACAGACTCCGCTAACCAGAAATAGTACCTTGGGTTAAGAACTTTCCTTCAGGATGAGAACAGAAATTGTGTGGCGGCGGCAGCAGCAGCAGGAGGAGGCCCCATTAGCTAAAGTGGTGCTTCAGGTTAAGAACAGCTTCAGATTAAGAATGGACCTCCGGAACAAATTAAGTACTTAACCCAAGGTACCACTGTATTCCAAGTCACCCTCAGGTAACACAATCTGAGGCTGTGAAAATTTTACCACTTGCTCTACCTCCAGCTCAATCCCACTGCTGGCATTTGAAGCCAAGTGGCGCTGTGGGTTAAACCACAGAGCCTAGGACTTGCTGATCAGAAGGTTGGTGGTTCGAATCCCCGCGATGGGGTGAGCTCCTGTTGCTCAGTCCCTGCTCCTGCCAACTTAGCAGTTTGAAAGCACATCAAAGTGCAAGTAGATAAACAGGTACCGCTCCAGTGGGAAGGTAAACGGTGTTTCCATGTGCTACTCTGGTTCGCCAGAAGCGGCTTAGTCATGCTGGCCACATGACCCGGAAGCTGTATGCCAGCTCCCGCGGCCAATAAAGCGAGATGAGAGCCGCAACCCCAGAGTCGTCCACAACTAGACCTAATGGTCAGGAGTCCTTTTACCTTTACACATGATGTTACCTGAAATCGGTAGGTATACGGTGGCTTTCTGAGAAACACTTCTGTTTGATGTACTCCCCCTCAAACCAGCCTCCACCCAGCTTGGAAATGGAAGTTGTGGTTGTGCATGGGCAGATGACAGCTTCAGAGAACTGAAGTTTGGTGGGGGGCAGGGGAACAAATCAGGTAATGGGCATTGGATTAAGACATCCCTGCTCCCTCTCCGGTCTGAAAGGGTGTGTCTTGAAACACAGCAGGAGGAAACGACCTTGCTGAATTTCAAGTCACTAAGCAATAGGAAAGGGGATGCGGGTGGCGCTGTGGGTTAAAGCCTCAGTGCCTAGGACTTGCCGATCGAAAGGTCGGCGGTTCAAATCCCCGCGGCGGGGTGCGCTCCCGTTGCTCAGTCCCAGCGCCTGCCAACCTAGCAGTTCGAAAGCACCCCCGGGTGCAAGTAGATAAATAGGGACCGCTTACTAGCGGGAAGGTAAACGGCGTTTCCGTGTGCGGCTCTGGCTCGCCAGACGCAGCTTGTCACGCTGGCCACGTGACCCGGAAGTGTCTGCGGACAGCGCTGGCTCCTGGCCTCTAGAGTGAGATGAGCGCACAACCCTAGAGTCTGGCAAGACTGGCCCGTACGGGCAGGGGTACCTTTACCTTAAGCAATAGGGAATTCAAAGCACGAGGTCAGTTGATTGACAGGCACCCACCCACCTGTCAATTTTTGGAGATAAGGATGTTGCCAGCCTGGCAGGAGAGGCTCGCCACCGCTGCACTTTTGGAATACATAACCTGTCTGCTGCTTCCTTAGATAACTGCTATTAATCTTACCAGTAACATGAATAATTGTGGTCCTCCGTATTGGATTTTTGAGTGTGCTGTGCTGGATGTTGCATTCAAATTCCGCCCTATCGTCCTTTATCGTCGGCGTGTAACTCAGGCAGGAGGAGATGCTGTAAAATCTGCCATTGGCTTCCAACGGCTGCTTGGCCATACCGGTAAAATCTTCTCCAGCTTCACAAAGGGCTGCATCTTCCTTTGCATGGTGTGCTGTCGACACCATCCTGTGTGGATTTCTCCGGTACCATTTCACCTGGATTGTTTTGGGTCTAAATCCATTTATATTGCACATCAGCCTGATCTTTTCATTAATCGGGATCAGGTCAGGCTGGATGATTGAGGAGACCTGGGGCTCTGCTATATATAAAAAAAGCAAAGGCAGTTAGGGTACAGTGCACTTAGCGAAAGGTCCCTTGAACATAGTGCAGCCTTCTTCCCAAGAAACCAGAGATAGGAAACTCTTGGCCCTCCAGATGTTGCAGGACTACAACTCCCATCATTCCCAGCTAGCTAGAGCCCATGAATACCTAGAAAGCTACAGATTCCCCATCTGTGCAGGAAACATAAAACACATTTCAATGTTAATTGAGAAATTGTTCTGCAGAGGATCGTGGAGGCCAAGGTTATCAATTACTACTAGCTACAATGGCCTTTTTGTACCTCCACTGGTAGAATCAGTGAATTGTAGAGTTGGAAGAGGCCATGGGGGTCTCATCTAGTCCAACCCTCTGCAATGCAGGAATCTTTCACCCAACGTGGGGCTCAAACCCACAACCCTGGAATTAAGAGTCTCATGCTCTACCGACTGAACTATCCAGATCTAGAGACAGTGTGCCTTTGAATAACAGCTGATGGGAATCCCAGGTGGGAAGAGAGCTATTGCTTTCCGAGTTCCTATAGGTGCTTGCTTGGCCACTGTGCAAACAGGATGCTGGACTAGATCAGCCTTGGTCCAATCCAACAGAGCTCTTCTTGTGATCTTAGCACAAAATGGAAAGACGAGAGTGGCCCATGAAAAGCCAAGCCATGCCCCCTAGACATATCACTAGTAACTTAGCAGTAACTAGAATATTTTTATTGGGCAGTAAATAAATACATCAGGTAAATAAGTAAAAACATGTGTTGGGAACAGAAAGTTTCCATTTTTGGAAGAGGCATGGAATAGTGACAAATACATGTGCAATCTTTCATGGGTCATTTCATGCAGATCATGAACTGGGCTAAAATGAATGACTTCCACCCTGAAATGTTTTAGGATTCTTTAAAATTTACCTTTTGCAAGCCGCGTTTGATAAAAGATGGTTAAAAATATGCTGCATAAGCCTGTCAGTATGATGCAAGAGGTGGCCACCCCGACAATAAATCCTGTGTCCCGATGATAGGATTTTGGTACTAGAATACAAATGTATTTATTAAAACCAATAGCAGTTGTTCTGTTTTTGACATATGCTTTGTCACTTCTTTGGCTTGGGCCTCCAAGACTGCTTGCTGGGACTCCCCTGCTTGAAGATGATTTATTTTTTACTTGGCTTGTCCTGTTGTTATCGCTGACAACAGAACAGTGGATCTAAATAAGTGTAATGGACTGTGGTCCTGCAGGATTTGCTTTTGGTACATGAATGAAAGGGGACGCGGGTGGCGCTGTGGGTTAAACCACAGAGCCTAGGACTTGCCGATCAGAAGGTCGGCAGTTCAAATCCCTGTGACAGGGGTGAGCTCCCATTGGCTCGGTCCCTGCTCCTGCCAACCTAGCAGTTTGAAAGCACGTCAAAGTGCAAGTAGATAAATAGGTACCACTCCGGCGGGAAGGTAAATGGCATTTCCATGCGCTGCTCTGGTTCGCCAGAAGCGGCTTAGTCATGCTGGCCACATGACCCGGAAGCTGTATGCTGGCTCCCTCGGCCAATAAAGCGAGATGAGCGCCGCAACCCCAGAGTCTGTCATGACTGGACCTAATGGTCAGGGGTCCCTTTACATGAATAAAAAGCCATTGTCTGGATTCAGACCTAGAGTTTGTGGTCTCCTTGGACGAGGAGCAAAGGAAGCTTGACCTTCCAGCAGATCCACACTGCCAATGAGCCTGAGGATCTGGACATCTCTGTCCCAGGGCTGAAGGTACTCATACCAGCTTCCTGGGTGGTGCAGGTGCCTCCAGACCCCCCACCCCTCCAATTATTGCAGGACCATAGAAGTAGAGGAGATGGTGAATAAGGCAGGAACTTCAGAGCCACCAGGAAAGTGTGTGGCTAGTTGCCTGTGAAGCTCCTTGGAGACCAGACCTCAACCCACAACTCAGCTATGAAGTGTAGTAGTGGGCCAGTCCCCCCCCCCCTCTCTCAGCCTAACATACCTCACAGGGTTGCTGTGAGGATAAGGAGAACTATGTATACCACCTCGAGCTCCTTGGAGGAAAGATGGAATATAAATGTAACAAATAATAACAAACAGATTTGCAGACACTTACTCGTGACCAACAAAGTTGTATTTCTACGTAGCGGCTTTCCCAGGGACTCGTGTTGGACTTCACAGATATATAAGGAACCGTTATCAGCCTCAGACACCATTTGGGTGACACGACTCAGCGCTGCAAACAAACCATCACGGCCTCGGGAAGATGGGGCCCCTGTGCATATATCTGAGGACAGTGGTGCTTCGCGTAGGCTGCCTTGTTTCCTGACCAGCCAAGAGATGTTAATTGCTTGGGGGTAGAAGTCATGAACGTTGCAAGTAAATGTCTTCTCCCCTTCTGCAGCAGCTAGGAGACTTTGGGGTGACAGCAGCACAGCAGGCCGAGCTGGAGTGGGAAAAGCAGATTATTATCAGAGAGGAAGATCGCTCAGATCCACCACTGAGGAATGTCTTCCATGTATCTGCTGAAATGGAATCTACTCCATGGAAGCTTTTGCTCTAATAAAATGTGTTGCACGCTATACATTTAAAGCAGTCTCCTACCACTTTAAACAGGGACGTGGGTGGCTCTGTGGGTTAAACCACAGAGCCTAGGACTTGCCAATCAGAAGGTCGGTGGTTCGAATCCCCATGACGGGGTGAGCTCCTGTTGCTCGGTCCCTGCTCCTGCCAACCTAGCAGTTCGAAAGCATGTCAAAGTGCAAGTAGATAAATAGGTACCACTCCAGCGGGAAGGTAAACGGCGTTTCCGTGCGCTGCTCTGGTTCACCAGAAGCAGCTTAGTCATGCTGGCCACATGACCCGAAAGCTGTACGCCGGCTCCCTCTGCCAATAAAGCGAGATGAACGCTGCAACCCCAGAGTAGGCCACGACTGGACCTAATGGTCAGGGGTCCCTTTACCTTTACCACTTTAAACAGTCATGGCTTCTTCTCCCAAAGCATCTTTGGAAGTGGAGCTTGTTCAAGGTGCTGAGATTTGCTAGGAGACCCCTATTCCCCTTACAGAGCCACAATTTACAGAGTGGTTTAACAGTCAATCCCTCTTCCAGAAAACTAAGGAGGCACTAAGGATGTGCAGCAGGGCCCAGGCCAATTCGGCACTGTATGGCCTCTACTGTTGCTCCCCCCCCCCCCCAGCTCTCCTCCTCCTCCTCTTCGTGTTCGTGGCAACAACGATGGCAGTCACTCCTCCCCTCCTTACTTTTTGTGGCTGTTGTTTTCCCTACCTCCCATTCCCTGATTTACTTGTGGGGCTGGGTGAGGTTTGCCCCAGCTTTAGAAGCACTTGTTCCTTCTATTAGCAATGTTTGGGGGGTGGGTGTCAATCCTTTCATAATCAAAATAGCATCCTTTGCACACACGGGTGAAGGTTTTCAGAAGCACAATAGATATGTGGGGTTGGGGATTAGAAACTTAAGAAGGGAAGGAAGGCAGAACCCCCCCCCCCCCCCGAGACAGACCCATGAAGACTTAGCCTGCTCAGTGGCACAGAATAATGTTGCGGGGGACAGTAAACCAGGAGAGGGAATGATGTGGACTGTCTGAGAAGAATGTATGGCTAGCTAAGTGGAACATTGCACAACAGCACTGTAATATTTTGTGGCAGGTGCCGCATGTAACAGCCCGCTCTACTGGACCACTTTATTGATCTCAAAGATTCTTCATTTTGTGTTGGTTGGATAACTTCAAAAAGCAATTGGTACCTCTGACTTTAAGCTGGATCTTTCCATTTCCATACTGCGGAGTTACCAACACAGTACACGTGTAAATACCTTCATCCCTTAATGTCACATCGGACAAGGTGAGTGATGCAATGCCATGGGGTAGTAACTCAACATTCACCAAGGGCCCGTGCCGGTAACCTGCTGTGTGGTTCCCATCAAACAAAAACACTGCCCTCTCTTCTCCAGATACAGTTTTCACCGCCCATTTCAGAGCCACGTCTTCTTTTCTGATGCTCTCCTGAACTGTAAAGTTACAATGCAGCACAACTGGGTTGTGTACCAGGCCTACTACAGGAGAAGGACTAGTCTTCACCTCCAAAGCAGCTGGAAACAAAACAGAAGGGGTGAAGATATATGAACATACACACACACACATGGGTGTAGCCAGGGGGGCACTGCCCCCTTAACTAACTGACTCACTGAATCACAGGTAACTCGGTTCTGACACACGGACTGAACATAAAGCCTGTCCTCTCTTTGGCACCAAAAATGTTGCAAAGATTGCAAAATAATAGAAAATTAATCAATGAGCAATAGACTCTCTCTGTCTGTCTCTTTTTATCTATCTACACATGCAGACACATATCCACAGTCTGCATAGTTCTTTTACTGAGAGTATGTCCCCTTTGAGCAAATATAATTTTAAATTAGACAATATAGACGTTTTTAAAGACCAATGGCAAGGTTTCAACAGTATCTTTTTTTATCCGTGCACGTTATAGGTCAGCAATATGCCAAGAATGTGTGTCACTTTTTTAACCACTGGCAAAACATAAACTTTGTGTCAATTTCTCAGTTAACGTGATTTCCCAAGGCTTCCTGTGGTTTTTTTTAAAATTTAAATTATTTATTAAATTTGTATATTGCCTTTCATCAGAAGAGAACAGGGCAGTTTACAACATAAAATGACAAAATAAGAACACAAAATAGATACCCAGAAAACAAACAAGAGCAAACCCTCCCCACATATTTTTTTGGTACTATTTTACCATGTTTAACCCTTAGGTTTTCCAAAATCTTGCCACTGAGATTCCTGCAGCTATCAATAGATGGCCTACCAAGTTTTTATGTAAAATGTCCCAATTTTCCCCTGTAAAGAAATTTGATAGAGCCAGTTGGGGGGATTTCTCCCTCCTCCCAGCTGCTGATTACTGCTGAGATTTCTTTTAAAACCTTTTCTAAATGCCCTTTGTAAAAATATGGGGTACCAAAGTAAAATACTAGACGTTGTGGGGGGTGGGTGAGAGCAGGCTAATTTCTCATACACAAAATGATTGAAACCCAAGATTTTGTTGGGGGGGGAGGGGGGCGGGGAGCCTAGGGCCTGTACATTTCGTCTCATAGCTTAGGTTCTGCAAATGCTAGAAACTTAACTCTTTTTTAAAAAGAAGAGGAAGAGGTAGAAGAGGAGGAAGAAAGCTGGGAATCTGTGGGTTGTGGTTCATGTGAGGGTAATTGTCCCTCCCCACCACGCTTCGTCCCCTGCCCCATTCCTCTGCCGCTGCTTCCAGACTTTTACAAGACATTTGAAGGCAGCTCTGTTTAGGGAAGCTTTTAATGTTTAATAGACTATTGTATTTTAATATTCTGTTGGAAGCCACCCAGAGTGGCTAAGGAAACCCAGCCAGGTGGGCGTGGTATAAATAAATTATTATTATTATTATTATTATTATTATTATTATTATTATTATTATTCCAGTACAGAAGCAGCGGCTCCACCAAGTAAACGAGGAAGGGTCCCTACCTGCAGCCATAAGGTAGGATAAGAAGAACGGCAGTTCCATTGCAAAGGTTAAGGAAGCAAAACAGGTGGACTTTGCGCCACACCTTCAGAGGTTAAAAGTACCCAAAGGAACGTTGCCAAGAGGTGCCTAGGACGCTTAGCCTCGCCCAGGAGAGGCTTTGCAAACAACAGCTAATTGTCAGAGCTTTTCCGCGTTTCATTAACCTATGGACGTTTCATTTCCCTATGAACTCAGCCTGAACACCCCCACGTGCATACTGTATATGGTAACATTTCATGCATCTCAGTAAACGGTAGTTCAGGAACACTTCTCCCTCCCTAAGAGGGAGGTCGCCTGCTCTTGGTGGGGTTAAAGGTAAAGGGACCCCTGACCATTAGGTCCAGTTGTGACCGACTCTGGAGATGCAGCGCTCATCTCGCTTTACTGGTTGAGGGAGCCATGTGGCCAGCATGACTAAGCCGCTTCTGGTGAACCAGAGCAGCACACGGAAATGCCGTTTACCTTCCCGCCAGAGCGGTACCTATTTATCTACTTGCACTGGTGTGCTTTCGAACTGCTAGGTGGGCAGGAGCAGGGACCGAGCAACGGGAGCCCTAGGCTTTGTGGTTTAACCCACAGCGCCACCCGTGTCCCTTCCCCTAAAGGAGCAGGTTCGTAGTTTAGGGGTACTCTTGGATCCTTTGCTGTCACTCGAGGCTCAGGTGACCTCAGTGGCCCGGAGTGCCTTCTATCAGCTTGGGCTGGTGGCCCAGCTATGCCCCTATCTGGACAGGGATAGCCTAACTACTGTTGTCTATGCTCTGGAAACCTCAAGGTTAGATTACTGCAATGAGTTATATGTAGGGCTGCAGCTGGTGCAGAATTCAGCAGCCAGGTTGCTCACCGCTGCAAGACGGTTTGAGCATATTACACTGATCCTGGTCCGAGTGCACTGGCTGCCAATTAGTTTCCTGGCCCAATTCAAAGTGCTGGTTTTGACCTATAAAGCCTTAAACGGCTCAGGACCGCAACACCTCAAGGATCTTCTGAGGCCCTCCTTTGTGTGTCCCCTCCTCCACAGGTTCGGAGGGTGGCAACAGAAGAATGGGCCTTCTCTGCAGTGGCTCCCCGTCTGTGGAATGCTCTCCCCAGGGAAGTTCGCCTGGTGCCTTCATTGTACATCTTTAGGCGCCAGGCAAAAACGATCCTATTTAACCAGGTTGATCCAATTTACATCCTATGCCCTGTAAAAATGTGATGGGGGAGGGAGGCTATTGGCTTGTTTTTACAGAGGTACCTCAGGTTACATACGCTTCAGGTTACATATGCTTCAGGTTACAGACTCCGCTAACCAAGAAATATTACCTCGGGTTAAGAACTTTGCTTCAGGATGAGAACAGAAATCGCATGGCGGCAGCAGTAGGACCCATTAGCTAAAGTGGTGCTTCAGGTTAAGAACAGTTTCAGGTTAAGAACGGACCTCCAGAACTAATTAAGTACTTAACCCGAGGTACCACTGTATTTTTATTAGGTATTTTGTGGTTGTATACTGTATCTTGATTTTATTCTGTGAACCGCCCTGAGACCCCAGGGTATAGGGTGGTTTATTAAATAAAGAAATAAAAAAAATGAACAAGAAGAAGACGTAATGTAACGTGTTGCGAGATTGCATTCACATCGGGGCCAGAAATGAGTTTGAGGTGCCATTCCGACGTTCATTTATTTCGGAGCAACCCCAACTTGAATTCATCACACATGCACATTTGATTATTTTGACTGGCTAGGCTGGAACGCGGAAGCTGAGGAATTGAGCTTGCTCGCTGCTATCTTGGGGACTATTCAGACGTGAGCGCTGCCGAAGACCAGGAAGCTGGGCGCCGATGGCGTGCTAAAACTGTGCCCTGGCCGGTGGAACCCGGGACCCACAAGGGAAGCGGGCACTTGGCCGGGAGCCGTTTTTCTCTCGCAAGTAAGTGAATACGCCTCGGACACGAACAGCCCGGGGCGCTAGGACGCTTGCACGGGGAAGAGCAGCGCACAGCCGCCTCGAACTCGCAAGCTCTCGAGGCTGCTAGATCTGAAAGCTTTGCGCGCTGCCGCTGTGCTATCTTGGAAGTCACCCCACGCCCCCTTCAGGGGAGCGTAAGGAATGCGTTGTCCTTTCTCCGCCCGAATGGAGTGATGCTACACGTTCTCTGGCCGCGCGTCTCTCCATTGCGCTCGGTTGTCCGTTCCTGCTATGCCCGTGAGCGGGTCCAGGGACCCCTCTGCGTCACACCGCTGGGTTGGCTCTCAGGTAAGAGTGCTCAGGAATGCAAAGCCCTCCGCGCACTTGCCCCTGTGCATTAACTCGGTGGGCTTTACTTCCGAGTAGATATGCAGCCGCCCCTCTCCAAACTGCACGGTGGGACCCAGTGGGTCGGTGCATCTTCTCTTTAAAGTTGCTGCAGATAGAGGGAGGGGGTGAAAGCAGCATATTGTTTAATTTCTGCCAAACCAAAAGGAAGCACATCAGAAAAACATGTTGCTTAAGTCCAGGGAATTTAAGACAGAAACGAAACATGATAATTTTTTAATGTTGTGAATCACCCCAAGATCTTTGGATGAAGGGTGCTATACAGATTTAATAAATAAAATAAAAACGTTGGCAAATTCTGAACCACCTTCTGTAATCTCTGCTTAGAGCTGTTTAATGAGAGGAAACCATATGCATATTGACAAAGTCTCACTGCACTCGATAATTACTTTCAAGCAAATGCAGCCATCACAGTGTAATCACTGAGTTCAATGGTGCTTCTTTCCCAGATAAGAGGTTAGAATGCAGTCTTCATCACATTTACATTGATGGGAAGTAGCACATGTGAGATGCTTCCAGCTCCTGCCAGCACTTCTGCCAATGCCAACAGCAGACAGAAACATTTCTATCAGCTGCATCATGTTGCCTCCAATATACAGAGGCTGGGTTCTATAATGCATTTCTGAAATGTTTCAGTGGTTGGAACCCTAGCAGCTGGTCAAAAAAGACAAATGGTATATTGATATGCTTAACTACTATTTTTCTCATTTTGGGCATTTGATTTCTTTCCTTTCTGAACTGCATATATATACACAGTGGTACCTCAGGTTACAGACGCTTCAGGTTACATATGCTTCAGGTTACAGACTCCGCTAACCCAGAAATAGTACCTCGGGTTAAGAACTTTGCTTCAGGATGAGAACAGAAATTGTGCTCCGGCGGCGCGGCGGCAGCAGGAGGCCCCATTAACTAAAGTGGTGCTTCGGGTTAAGAACAGTTTCAGGTTAAGAACGGACCTCTGGAACGAATTAAGTACTTAACCCGAGGTACCGCTGTATATTGAAAGATGAGCACAATCATAATTTCATACAGTCTTGCTGTCAAGCTAAGAGTACTTTGAATTGCAAGCTTCAACCCTCAACCTTCCACATAGCTACAGGCCACTCCTAAATATACCTACTTGCACCTAGTGAACAAAGATTTACTCCCACATATGTATACATCAGCCTCAGATCTTTGACCAGATGTTCTGTCTTCATCACTCTGCTGCTTTGATGTCAGGTGCAGCCTGTGGGTGGAATTGGCGAGGGAAGGAAGCTTTTCTACAGTGGAAATGGGTTGTTCTGCTTGCTTCCCCCATCCAACTCATCCATCTTTGCTGGAGTCCTGGAAGGCCTGCTCTCTGCCTTGCAGACCATTTTCCACTGGCCTGAGAGGGCGAGGCCCTGGCTGACTCCAGCTACAAAAGCTGAGACTGAAAAGGCCAGAGACTAACTCAGGTGTCTCTTAGTGCAGACCCAGGTCATAGAGCCTGACCTTCCACAGCCACCGCCCACCATGAACCATCATCGGCAGGATTTGCAGCAATAACAGCAGATATGTCAGATATGTTCTATGCCATAGGTAGGCAAACTAAGGCCTGGGGGGGGGGCAGATCCAGCCCAATTGCCTTCTAAATCCGGCCTGCGGACAGTCCAGGAATCAGCGTGTTTTTACATGAGTAGAATGTGTCCTTTTATTTAAAATGGATCTCTGGGTTATTTGCGGGGCATAGGAATTCATTCATTTCCCCCCCCCCAAATATAGTCCGGCCTCCCACAAAGTTTGAGGGACAGTGGACTGGCCCCCTGCTGAAGAAGTTTGCTGACTCCTGTTCTATGCTTATGATATTATTTTTTCTCTCTTGCTTATTATGCTGCTTTAAGATTCAGGTAGGTAGCCGTGTTGGTCCTACTGATTTATTTATTTATTTAGCTTGAAGTGTGCATTTTATATTTGACTTCCTTTAGTAGTTTTATTTTGAATTTCTTTTTAAAATGTTAGCTGTTTACTTTTCTGCATTAAGTGTGCATTCTGTAGCTGACCTGTTTTGTAATCATTAATTTTGAAATCTTTAAAATATTTTAGTTTGCTGTTAATTATGTTGCTTTGAATGTAAACTTGACTTTCTTTTGTAAGGTTTTGTTTGGGTTGCTTTATTTGATGTTATAATGTAGGTTTGTAAACCACTTTGAGATTATATAAATAATCAGTATAGAAAAGAAATGAATAATTCACTGGGGCTGCACCTGCCATCAAAGCAGATTCTCTTCATCAAAGAGTATACACCATCAGAGCAAAAGATAGACAATATATGAGAGAAACCACCATTTCACATCCCCTCACTCTTTACTCTCAGTATACTTAGTGTTCAATCCTAGCACTGCTGTCATATGGCACATTCCTCTACATGTTTACTTGCAAGCAATGCCCAGTGGACTCAATGAGGCTTACACTCACATGTGTAGACAGGGTTGCAACACAACAGCCTATTCCTATATAGTGACGCTGACCTAAACTCATTGACCGCAGCAGGCTTAAAAGTGCCAAACTGAATCTGGCTGCTAAAGATACCTCCTTTAAAGGCAATTTACATTTGGCACAAGAGGCTGTGATGCAAACTGTGAGGTGAACAGGAGTCTGGCCATCTTGCACTGACCTAAACTGGGAGGACTACATAAATGGACTACATAAACCCAACCTAAGAAATAATGTCTGGCATTTACCGTATTTTTCACCCTATAGGACGCACTTTTTCCCCTCCAAAAATGAAGGGGGAATGTGTGTGCGTCCTATGGGGCGAATGCAGGCTTTCGCTGAAGCCTGGAGAGCGAGAGGGGTCGGTGCGCACCGACCCCTCTCGCTCTCCAGGCTTCAGGAAGCTCTGCGCAACTCTACAGAGCCCGGCGCGAAGTCGCGCCAGGCTCCCGAGGGCTGCGCAGAGCTGCCTGCAGTCCCGGGCTTCGCGCAGCTCTGCGCAACCCAAGGGAGCCCGGCGCGAAGTCGCGTCGGTCTCCTGAGGGCTGCGCAGAGCTGCCTGCATTCCGAAGCCTGGGGCGCACTGAAGAGCGTGCCCGGGCTTCGCGCAGCTCTCCGCAAGCCTCGGGAGACCGGCGCGACTTCCCACCAGTCTCCCTAGGCTTGCGGATAGCAGGCTGTTCTGGGGGCTGGGGTCGGGGGAAGCTTGGATTTCCCCCGCCAGCCCACGCCGGGGGGGGGGGAATAATTTTTTTTCTTTATTCCCCCCCAAAAAAAAACCTAGGTGCGCCCTATGGGGCAAAAAATACGGTATTTCACATTCTTTTTCAATACTCCTTTTTTCAGTCGCTAGTATGAAACTGTTTGCTTCAAGAAAATAAGCAAATGCAAGTAGAATTGTAGAGTGCTCTAGCAGCCTCAAAATACTGTTATCAAGTCCTAAAACCCCAATATAGTTGTTGTATAAATACAAAGCAATGAAAAAGGCTAAAATTTATTTCATGATGTAACATAACTGAAGATATTTAAATACTCTTTGCAGTGCAGTGTTCTTTTATCCAACCATGGATCTCTTTCTTCCTCTGAGCCGCACTTCATCCAGTTTTTTAATCACTGGAGCCGATTTTTTAGATATAGCCGAGTACTTCTTCAAGAGTGCTTTGAACAGAGCTTCTGTGTTCGGGTGGGTGCTCAAAAAGGCTTTCTCCAAAACATACAAATCAACACCCTTGTCCTCAGGTAGAGCAGAAATAAAACTCAGTCCAAAATCTATTAATACCAGCTCCATCTTTTTTGCTGGTGGTGGTCGTAGCAGCATGTTAGAAGTTGTGAGATCCCCATGCACAAGATCTTCATCATGCATATGTGCCAGAATCTCACCAATCTTCTCTGCTAGCAGAATAAGGTTGCTTGAATCATTTCTAGTTTGCTGTTCAGACATAATATAGTCCCGGACTGTAGTTGAGCCCACAATATCTTCAAGATAAATACAATTGGAAACATAGTCCACAAAGTATACAACAGGTGCAGAGATCCCTAAAAAGAAGAGTACAGCCATAAACAATTAGTCCTCAGCTTTGTACATCAACCAAAAATTATACATCATAATTAAATAGCCTCAAATACAGACAAGTCTTCAGAGCAAATAAAGCTTTTTTGCAGTGAATACACATGCAAATTCAAACATCTGTAATCAGTCATTCACCTTGTCAGGTAAAGAAACTAAAGGCTGCTTCCGGCCAACCAAACCAGTTCCTGTACATAATCTACCTTAAATTATACTGGTTCTAACAAGTTAAGATGGAATTCCAGCCCGCGCGCCCTCCCTCCCTCCCCGCGCAGTCCGGTCTCGAGGCCCCCCTCCCCGCCCACCTGCCCGCCGGCAGCGAAGCAGCGAGCGGGCCTCCTGCGCCGTCCGCCTGCGGCTCAGGCGCTCCTCCAACAACGGGTGGCGGTAACGCTTCGGGAAGCGGTGCTTCGCCACAGTTGGCCGGCCTAGGAAGAGGCCCCGGTAGACCCGGGCTTCGGCTCCCTGCTGGACCATCTCCAGCCCCGCCATGGGCGGAACAGCCGCTGCCTCAGGCTCGGCGCCGGCCGCGCTCCCCTCAGCCAGCGCAGCCGCCATCTTGGACGCCAACGGCCGCTCTCTCCAAGGTGGAATGCGCCTGCGCCAGTTGGGCCGGCGGAAACAGCCGAGTCCGGAATCCGAACTTGCCGGAAACAACCGAGACCGGAATCTGCACTTGCCGGAAACAGCCGAAACCCGAATCTGAACCTGGAAGACTTCGCAGCCCGTTTGCTTCCTAGTTGAGACCAGCGGTGCTTTCAAGTAAAAGTACTGGGCTGCAGCCTTGATCTCAGTCAGTGGGGCATAGCGGTTAGTGCACTTTGCTAGGATGCGACCGTCCTTTGCAAGGTTACTGGGGAGCACTCCGTGGGACTTCTGGGCAAGCATACTTTAGATCAGCTTGTGCATAGGAAGTTGCCTTATACCATGGGTAGGCAAACTAAGGCCCGGGGGCCGGATCTGGCTCAATTGCCTTCTAAATCCGGCCCGCGGACCGTCTGGGAACCATCGTGTTTTTACATGAGTGGAATCTGCCCTTTTATTTAAAATGCATCTCTAGGTTATTTGTGGGGCCTGCCTAGTGTTTTTACATGAGTAGAATGTGTGCTTTTATTTAAAACACATCTCTGGGTTATTTGTGGTGCATAGGAATTCGTCCATTCCCCCGCATATAGTCCGGCCCCCCACAAGGTCTGAGGGACAGTGGACCGGCCCCCTGCCGAAAAAGTTTGCTGACCCCTGTCTTATACTATGACCAGACCCCTATTTAGGGCCCGTTAACTCACCAAGAAACTTGCCTAACTCTTTCAACAATGGAATCTCCCAAACTCACAACAATACAATATATTTTAAAAAACAAAAAACTTTGGCTGTAGATCAGGTAGACGGACAGACAACAAAGCAGGTCAAGTCAGGGTTGCAGGCACAAAAGAAATCCTAAACTGAGATCAGCAAGCGCTGGGAGCCAGAAAGGGGCTTCAGTTGCAGGAGACCTAGGATCCTCAAAGAAAAAGGTTTTGTGGGCTATAGGAATTCGTTCATTCTGGCTCCCCACCAGGTATGAGGGACAATGGACCGTCCCCCTGCTGAAAAAGTTTGCTGACCCCTGACCATTAGTCTGACCATCTATCTATAAAGGCATGCCATACTAAATAAAAATCTCCTTCTTTATGTCTCTCATTGATCTAATTTAGAAGAGGGGAATGAGAAGTGGTTGTCTTCCACTCAAATTAGCGGAGCTGAGGGAATATATATTACCTGACCCGGGAGTTCCATCCAACATTTCCTCCAAGCAAAGTGGCTCATTACAATTCCTTAACCATGAATATAACGGCTTCAATATGCTGACGTGAGGATATGGCACCCTCTGCTGACCAGTTTCTGAATTAAGGGTGCTTCCAAGGACAGGGGTGTGTAATTTGCAAACGGGTTGCTGAGATGTGGGAAATGGGTTGTTGTTGGTAACGGGGTTTTTGTTTGTTTTTACTTATCTGGAAAGGCTAAATCCGTACGGTATTAAATGGAGAAAAATCTGGGGTGAGATTTTGATGCCATCACATGGAGGATACATGGCTGAGAAATCTAGATCATGATGGAGGGATCGTGGAGGTAGCAGGGGTTAAATCATGGGTGCTCCGGAGCTTTCTAAAACAGTAGCTAAGGAAACATCACAAATTGAATTGGGACATTGTTATAAGAGTCTATATTATTCGCCTGATGACAGATTCTGCATGGAACTGTATCTGCGAAGAATTGTGGGAAATGAACAGATCCTTTGACAATTCTGACTTTGCACATGACGTGCTTACTGTTTCCTCTGGGGCACAATTTACAGGATTTTTATAAATTTCAGACTGACGCTCCTGTGGTGGCTTTGTGCATTAATTAAGTCCTTTTATAACAATGATTTGAACCTGAATTTTATCACTGCAAGATACTACAATAATAACTCCTCAGTGGAAGAAAGCAGACCTGAAAATAAGTCCCATGTCTCTCTGTTTCTGTGCTGCCTCCATGGTAATCATTTATCAGTTTGTCAAACCAGCAACTCTAGGGAGGACACAATAGATTAAAACATTTATAATAAGTAGTTGAAAACAAGTAAGGTTATTAAAATCCAGTTGTGACAAATAAAGGAAACATGGAATCATAGAATTGTAGAGTTGGAAGGGACCACAAGGGTCATCTAGTCCAGCCCCCAGAATTGCAGGAATCTTTCACCCAGCGTGGGGCTCAAACCCACAACCCTGAGATTAAGAGCCTCATGCTCTACCAACTGAGCCATTCCTCAATTTTATATTTGTTTAAAGAACTGTAAGTTGCCCAATGTTGTGACTTCTAGACCCTTTGTCCTTTTGTTCCTCCTACACATGTACTGAAATGATTTTCACCTATTCTCTACCTTCCCTCAAAACTGAATCTGAGCTTTCCTGTCAAGAACCTGTGAGCATAGTGGCATTGGTTCATTTCCTAAATAAGATTCACAAATCAAGCAGGTGTGCTAGGTATAGGGCTGCCAAGCGACTCGTAACTACTAGGGTGATCAATTCGTCTTTATGCTTTATGCTGACAACTAGGGTTGCCAGCTGACCAACTCTTGTGCCTGTAAGAAGGACTGCACCTGCAAGAATAAGAAAATTCAGCTTTTTTTGCAGCATAAAGATAAACACAATACCTGGCTAATGCCTACTCTTATAAGGAGAGCGAAAGAGGCTGACTGAAACCCTTATGATTTTGTTGATTTTGAAAGGTGGACTTTGATTATTTGAGGCCCATGGTTATGATGTACAAAGGAGAATAGAGCTCTTGTGCTTTTAAAAGCTGTGCAAAAGTAGGACTTGTGGGAAAGGGGGTCTGCAATGCAGAGATGAAAAAAGCTGCATCACTCCAAAAATTCCCTGTTCTACACAATTGTTAAAGCTACAAGGATCCTGCCCCTTGCCTTTCTCCCATCTCACTCTAGGGCAGGCTTTACCAACTTGGTGCCTTCTATAAAGTTACCAGATTTTTTTCAATGAATGGGGACACTCTTCAATTTCCTACTAAATAGATGGATTTTGTCAGGGGGCTGATTTGTAAATCTGGGGACTGTCCCCGGGAAACGGGGACGTCTGGTGACCTTAACCTTCTAGCTGTTTTGGACTGATGTGCTGGCTGACACTGGCTGGAATTAAGAATCAAGCGGTCAAGTCAGAGTTGAGGCAAATGGAACATCATCCCCCCCCAAAAAAAGTCTTATAATAACGAGAGGTTTTGAAGAGGGTCAAAAGGAGTGATGTGACACAAAATGACACAAGGATGTAAGTCATGAGCTCTTTCTGTTTCTGCAGGACCTCCTGTCATTCTGCTCTGAAAGCAAGAGTCCCTAGGCCAGCCTCTCCCAACCTGGTGCCCCCTAGATAGATGTTCTTGGACTACATCATCCCTGATCATTGGCCATGACATCTGGAGCTGATAGTAGTTGTGGTTCAAAACATCCGGAAGGCACCAGGTTGAGGGATGCTGGTCTGCAAATACACCTAGAGTTATATCATTTAACCCAGATGTGAAGAAACTTTGACCCTCCAGATATTGCTGAACTACAACTCCTAGCATCCCCGACCAAAGACCATGCATAATTTGCATTTCCTGATTTCTTTTGCGAATTCCTTCAAATTATTTTAAGATTCTTTGGTGTCATCTTCATAGAATCAAACTATCATTTTCTGCCCTTCAGCAATTAAAGCTACTGGAAAGTGCACAGAACCTACGGTCAAACCCCTAAGTGCCAATCACCATTAGCATAATGATTAACATCACTGAAGCAGTTGCTATGGTTACCAAACCCTTCCAGTCCCATTTCTGAATCCCTTTGAAAAACCACTCCCTTACTGGCCACCCTCAATGTATGAAGTCATTTTAGACCATTCAAAAGATGCCTGTCCCTCTCTAAATATACTCAGGATGCAAAAAACGATATTAAATGGTTCTTTTGAAATTGAAACTAGAGGAGTTGAATGGGAAGCTAATCTTCATTTTGCAAAACATCTGGATAGCTTCTAACACTTTCAAATATATTTTGGATAATATGATTTTGAGAGAGAACAAAAGGAGCCCATGATGCCCACATTTCAGATCAAAAGAGAGAGATTTCAATCATATTTCCAAATATGCTCAATGAAAATATAATTATTTTTATCATCAACTTCAGGTGTTTAAAAACCATAAGCTAAAGCCCTCCCCCCGCCCCGGACTCTAAACATCAGAAAATGGGAAGAAATGTGCATTTGTTTGAACAAGAAAAACAACAACAGCCAAACAAGCGTCAAGAGCCCCTTTCTTGGAGATAGGAGAGCTAATATTTCAAATACATAATTGGATGTTTGTACATCATTATCAGACTAATACTTTGATTCCAAACACACTTGAAAAACAGGCCTGGAAACTACAGAGGAGGTAGAATTATTTTGCCAATCTTCTGTGTATATGTATCTATATATATATCTATTTCATCTCCCATTTGTTTATTCACCTTTCTGTGGATTTGTGTGTGCTTCCTCAGTAATCACTATAGATAGCAAACAGCATACAAAAACTATTACAAGGGAAATCCAATTCTCGTTTATCCCTTAAGATAGATAGTGTCCTATGGGGCAGGAGAAAAACAATTTGTTTTGACACAAGCAGAAAGTAAGAGCCATAAGGATTTTTTCAGAACAGTTCATTGCACTGTGAAATGTTATCAAACATTACATCTGTGACAGGGTTGAGGAGTCTGTGGTATCCCACCCCAGATTTTTTGCTGGTTTCCGACATCCATCAGCCCCAGCCAACATGGCCACTGGTTGGGGGATGATGGGAGTTGGGAGTCTAGCAAAATTTGGAGAGCCACAGGTCCCTGGCCCATTTTCCAGTATACAATTTAGCAACGTCAGTTTAAAACAGTCGATACAGGATATACCGTATGTATATAGAAAGGTTGCACAATGTTGCAAAGGGAGTTCGTGCAAGGCCTAATACTTAATTGCTCTTTATAAACAGCTACATATTTTCAGATTACAAATAATTTTTATTGTTATTGTAATAGTTACTGTTATTATAGAGCATAAGTAACCACATAGTCCCCCCATACAGCGGTACCTCGGGTTAAGAATTTAATTCGTTCCAGAGGTTCGTTCTTAATCTGAAACTGTTCTTAACCCACTGCCACCGCCGCACAATTTCTGTTCTCATCCTGAAGCAAAGTTCTTAACCCGAGGTACTATTTCTGGGTTAGCGGAGTCTGTAACCTGAAGCATCTGT